TTATATGTATTGTTTGCTCCTCTTACTGTCTCTTTTCTTCATGAATCAAAATCCTCAAAGCATCTCTTTTTGCAGAAAGTTGCTACAAGCTGGGTATGGCTTGCTTCGAAACTAGAGGAAAACCCTAGAAAAGCCAGACAAGTAATCATTGTTTTTCACAGGATGGAATGCAGGAGGGAGAACTTGCCCATGGAGCATTTAGACTTGTATTCCAAGGTCACTCTCCCTTTCTTTATGCCTTGAGTACAATCTTTCAATAAATTTTAGTTTTTTGAATGTTTTTGTTTTCTTTTTTCATGAACAGAAATATTTTGATTTGAAAATGGAGTTGAGCAGAACAGAGAGACATATTTTGAAAGAGATGGGATTCATTTTCCATGTTGAACATCCTCATAAATTTATATCAAATTACCTTGCTACACTTGAAACAGCTCCAGAATTGAGGCCAGAATTGAGGCAAGAAGCTTGGAATCTGGCTAATGACAGGTACATAATTGCAGATATTATTATTATGTCGTTGTTGTATGTCTACACATGTACATATGTTCCACTCCACATTGTACACCACGATTTACTACTCACAAGATTCTTGAATTAGACTGTATTTTCTATTCTTTTAAACATTGGAAGGTTTGCTTGGATTAAGTAAACAATTTAAAGAGATGTAGTAATCCTCATAACACATTTAATGAAGTAGAAGAACAAAATCTTGACAAAGTTGTCCATGACAGCTTTTTGAACAACCTAGTGTTGTAATTATATTCTTAGAGGATTTAATTTGTGCAGTGTAAAATGAAAACAGAAGTTACTATAAATATGAATAGATGTTTTAAAGAATATTGTACTGTCTAGGCAGAAGATTTGGCTGAAAATATGACGGTAATATCGTATAAAGTTTTGAGATTCTTATTAAATTGTTGAACCTGTTCATCTTGTGCTTGTTGTTAAATGGATAGATGTTTTAAAGGGTATCTACCTTATTATGTTGTTGGACCTGTTGAACTTTTGTAAATCATGTGTGACATACTTTTGATCCAAACCAAAGCATAATCCGCAATGGAGTAAAAAATCTATTTACTCATCCAATTGCCGTACTGCAATGTGCTAGTATTTTTGGTTATGGCTTGTATTCAACGTCTTTCAGTTGAGCTAAATGCTTGTTGTTTTATAGTTATATGCTTCACTAACTCTCTTCTTGATGCAGTTTGCGCACTACATTGTGTGTTCGATTTAAGAGTGAGGTTGTGGCTTGTGGAGTTGTATTGTATATGATGCTGCTCGTAGGTTTCAACTACCCCTTCCTGAGAACCCACCATGGTGGAAGGCATTTGATGCAGAGAAGTCTGGGATTGATGAAGTCTGCAGGGTTCTGGCTCACCTTTATAGCCTTCCAAAGGCGCAATATATACCAGTCTGCAAGGACGGGGACTCATTTACATTCTCCAACAAATCATTGGAATCAAAGCATCAGTCAACACCAAAGGTGATGTCCTATTTTCCCCTATTTATTTTGTACTTGCCTTAGGGATGCAATATCAGCACAGAATTGGCTGTTATAAGATAAATGTTTGCTTTTGTAAACCTGTATTGTTGGCAATCAACTATAAGATTTGGATTGTTTACATTCTCCAACAAATCTTTGGAATCAAAGCATCAGTCAACATCGAGTGTGATGGCCAATTTTCCCCAATTTATTTTAAACTTGCCCTAGAGATGCAATGCAATATCAACACAGTGGACTGTTATAAGACAAATGTTTGCTTTTGTAAACCTGTATTATTAGCAATCAACTATATGGTTTCGATTTGACATGCCTGAAATCATTTCTAATTTGTAGGATGTTCCACAAAGTAGCCCCCAAGCTGATACTGAGACATCAGCCCCAAAGGGCATTCCTGGGGAAGCTAATGTTGAATCCATTGGTGGCAAGGGTGCATTGGTAAAGCTAGCCACTGATAAGCTGAAAGATTCCAAGAAGTCTGATGATGAATCCAAAGGCATGGCTGCCGAGGGAGAGGCAAGAGATGAACTCACGATGATGTCCAAGTCTGACCGTAAAAGGGATGCCAGTGGGGAGACACGCAGGGACAGGGACAAGGATAAGGATAGGGACAGAGACAGGGATAGGGACAGGGACAGAACAAAATCCAGGGATCGGGATCGTGGGAGGGATTCTGACAAAGAACGTGAACGAGAGGAAGCTGAGAGGGACAAACTCAAGGATCTGGTTCACCGTTCCAGGGAAAGAGCAAAAGATTCAGGTATTTTTATATATTTATTGTCTGGTAATTTTTTTTCGTTGGGTATTTTGGATGAAATTAAGTTTTTCTGTTGGATGCAGGACATTCAGAGAAATTAAAACACCATTCATCGCGTGGTATGAATCTGAATTCATGAGTTTGGCATTGTTTTCCTTTCGGTATTCCCTCTTCTAACACATTTTGATTTCAGATCGTGACTACCCCGGTTCCTCTTACTCGTCAAGGGAGAAAGATCGACATAGACATTATTGACATTACTAAAAGAGCTTTCAAGGTCTACCGCAATTTTGTCCATAGTTCGCCAAGTAATTGAGAATTGCATAACTTCTGATCTATAATCATGTACTACTACCTGTTAGGGCAAGTGTTGTTAAAATTATAAACAATAGGAATGCCTTGTTGTATTAGTTGCATTCACCATCACATTCAAGCTTGTCATTCATATTTCAACTAACAATTATCCCTGACTGTATCCCTTCTGGTATGATAGTGGATAAAAGCTATAGAAATAAATTTATGTATGTTAACTGGTTTAGTTTATAATATTTTTCTTTATTTGTTATTATGATTTAGGAATAATTTATAAGTGCATACTCATTAAGTAATAAACATCGAGTGGGGATATTCTTACTACTAGAAAAATTCACTACCAACCCACTACCTCCATAATCACCATTGGATCAACATTTTCTCTTTCTTCAAAAACTTTTAAACATTCTCTCTCTTTGATCCAATGGTAATTGTGGAGGTAGTAGGTTGGTAGTGGATATTTTTGGTAGTAAGAATATCCCCCCTCATAAACATCAGCATAAATTTTCTATTAAGCCAAAATATTTTGTTAATACGATTAATCTTTTCTTTTCCTCGTCATAAATAAGTAGAATACGTACAAGATAACGTTTTACTAACCAATGGTTGATTTGACAAAAAATATTATGTAATTCATGCCCAATTAAGTAATTATTTAAATTGAACTAACTGAATGGGTGTAATGGTAGTTGAATCTTATGAAGAAAGAGTTTAAAAATTACATATGACTTCTTTCATATCTGTTTTTTACTTTTATTCCAAGGTAGCATTCCAATTTTCCAAAATATGTGATTTGAAGCAAAATAAAAAATAAATAAAATGTACGTGGCCTATTAATTCGTTATTATTTAATTGTTGGATTTACTTGACAAAATATTAGGTAACTTTTTTTTTAAAAGCACATTTTTCTAGGCAGTAAAAAAAAATCCGGTACAGTTAGTAGATAGTTGGGCCATTTAAACATGTTGATAGGGGTTCAATTTCTGACTCACTTCGGTGATCTGTATGTCTCGAAAGGATTAGTTTTCTGCTGTTGACGGTTGAAGAAACTATAAAAAAAACCAACCCTTTAAGCCAATAATAAATCAAGTCACTCTTTGTGACAAAGTCACCTTCTATCAAGAGAACGATACCCCAGGGGGCAAATGAACTTGGGTAACGAGGTCATCCCCAATGGCAAATCATGAAACTATAATGAGTAGACACAATTAAGGAACGTCAAGTCAGAAGATGATCAGAGAAGGTGTGTTAGATTAAAAAGATACCCACAATGCTTAGTTAGTTGTTGTGTTTTTTCTTTTCCTCTGTATCCAAAAAAAAAAGACACCCACAAGAGAATACATCACCTTCAAGGAATGTAATAAATCAAAATACAATGAGGAAACCAGTTGTCCACTTTTTTTTCATGTTTCTTTGGTGTTTTTACCCCCTCATTAGCCTAACATACAGCGACAATCCCTCATGTTTCTTTACCATTATCCATACTTTTTCTGTCCCCTTGGTAATCTTCCAAGGATTGCTTTGTCAGTACTCTCATTAGCCATCACCTATTCCACTCCAGTGTTTAACATTCCATTCTCCATCTTCACATCACCACAATCACCAACCTTCAACAGATTAACATGCAGAGCTGCAGGATCAAGTTAAAAAGTTCCACTTGGAACACCTTCCCTTTCATTACCAGTCATCTTATATGAGGGAATTCGATGTGAAGATAGTATGACACAAGTTTGGATAATTTGGATGGAACTAAAGGAAGTCGATATTTATAAGGCACTATGACGTTCAAGTATTTGAGTGAATAAGTATTCTTTATATGAGAAAGATGAATATTCCTAGATCTTTACCCCTGTATTTATAGCGTACGACATGACCAACTTGCAAATTCAGCTAACCGCCTTTATATGATGATTTTGTTGATACATCTTTTGATTGGTTGATTTGTGTGGGCTTTACATCTTATTTGTGATTGCTAGATATACCTCATGGTGGGATACATGGTTGAAGCTTAGCTAGAAGCTTATTTATGCCATTCGGTAATTGGATTATGTTTCTTACGTGTTAAGGATATTTTTGGATTTGATCCATCATGAAAGTGGGCTTCTAATTATATTTTGAACCCGTATTATTTGTCCATATCAAATGGACACAAACCCATAATGCATTGCCCGCATTCACACAAAGCTCTAACCAATAAAATAATAATAATACAATCAACAGAGAAATGTGCATAAATTCATAATAAAAAATTCACACGTGCCTCATTTTCTCCTTTAATAAATTTGAGGGGAGCCAAGTCAGCTGCTTAAATTTATAGGTAATATATACTTACAAACACAGGTGTCTCTTGGGAATATCGACAAACACTGCGCACCAAACCTTAAAAGAAAATAAAAATAAACACAGCTGCAGTCTAATGGGAACCTATTCTCATGTATTTCTTCCCAGCACATCCCTAATTAGTTGTCTCGGTGCTGTGACAGGAAATATATGAAGTGAATTTCAGTAGATGGTGGGAGTGCGAAAAAAGAAAAGTACAAAAATTGATGTTATTTTCTTTTTGTCTAACCTGGCAACTTTGTGAACTTTTGAAACTGCACGAATGCTTGATTGATGAACATTTCTGTACCATAGACTATGGCTGCTCCAGCTTCTTGTGCTTCTCGAAGGAGTCTTGTCAATTTTGGTGTGTAAATGGCATCAAACACCAATGAATAGTGTTTCAGGGCTTCCTGTTAAAACATAAAAACAGGAAGTGACGTGACATCTTAGAATATTTTGACGATGAATATCTAGAGCCGGCAAAACGGACTCGGCTCGGCGGGCTAACCCGCCAAACGGGACAGGAGTGACTGAGTTTTTCAACCCATCTTAAAAGCGGAGCGGGGCGGGCCGAGCTCATTTTTTAGCGGGTTGATGACGGGCATAAGCGGACCGAGGCGGGTCAGTGTAAAATAGACTAGAGCTAGTAGGTCAACCCGCCAAACGGGGCAGAGCGGGGTAACTCATTTTTTTGGCAGGTTAATGGCGGGACAGAGCGAGCCGCCCACTTTGCCACTTCTAAATATAGATAGACCTTTTACATCAATAAAAGTTGATAACAGAACATGGAACACTAACTCCAAACCTTTGGTAAGGGTGTCTCATCAATGTTCGGTTTCATTCCAACAGATGTAGTATTTGCGAGAATCATCCCTTCTTGTGGGTGGAAGTTCTCTAATTCAGATAGAGTAATAGCCTCTCCTTCAACTTTACTAGCAAGTTCTTTGGCTTTGGCTGATAGTCAAAAAGAAAAGAAACAGATCATGCATGCATCATCATTCCTCACTAGAAATAATAATCAAACTAAACCAAACAAGATTTTCTCACCATAAGTACGATTGGCAACAACTACTCTTGCACCCTTTTCTTTTCCACCGTAAGCTAGTGCTTTTCCTGCCCCACCAGCTCCCATAACGACAAACAGTTTACCATATAAAGGTGAACCAGATATAGATCTTCCGTTTAAACCTGCATAGAGTGGTAATGAAAGAAGCCTTTAAATAAATAAATAAAAACCTCGTATAGTCTTTTCTCAATAGCCGCAAAGAAAACAACGAAACCTAGTATTCCTTCCTCAATAGCTGCAATGGCCCCAAGATAGTCAACGTTATAACCTATTAGTTTTCCATCGTGTGGCCTCTTAATCATGCAACTGATAGCTCCTATTGCCTGCAAAAATGTTTGATTAGGAAGCTATATTAATTTCAAATGATAAAAATAAAAAGATGGGACAGAGGTTTTCAGGCTAAATACCTTGGCAATTGGATCGACCTCATCACAGCATCTAAGTCCATCCTCCTTGTGAGGAATCGTATAACTGTTATATAAAGAAAAAAGAGTTATTGTAATTGCATGACTCCACAAAATCAAATATATATATATACATATATATATATATATATATATATATATATATCTTAAAATCCTGCCCTTAAGTCTATATATGAAGAATGCCCAAATGGGTCAACACCACATTTTAAGAAAAATATAGAAAAACTGAAGAGGGCATTCAATTCAACTATAAATATATGTTACACAAAGGAAGATTCTACGAGGATGTTACTATACCTGTATCCAACAAAATCTGGAGATGAGTAAGTGTTGAGAAAATCTGAGACATTATCAACCAACAAAGGCAAGTAAACTCCATCAAATCCCACAGCCTTGAAAGCTGCATTATAAAGATGAGGACTTTTGCTATGACCAACAGGATTTCCTATAACACCATGTACTTTGGTGGCAACCCCAATCTGTCTAAAATTGTATAAATCCAACAAGTCTTTAATAGTTGGTTGCCCAGGAGCTGATATAGCTCCAGCCTCAATTGAACCAAACGTGAGAAATCCTCCAAACTTTGCACAGAGTACACGTGACATAAATCCCTTCTCACCCATTGCAATTCCTATCATTGGGACCTACAATTATTCATTTTATTAAACTCAGCATGTCATTTACATTCTGCCGAAATTTTTGAACCCATAACTGTACAAGTCATAAGATACTGATTGAAGATAGTATGTATGTATGCTCTATAATAATTGATAATATTTGATGTGACTACTTGTCTTTCATTAAAGAAACAGGAAAGAAAACTAATGTTAATGTAGAGCAAAACACATTGAACAACCAAATTGTGTTGATCCGTGCTAAGTGCTAACTAATTACCTGAGAATGCACAAGGACTTGAAAAACACGTGCAGAGTCTGTGATGTCCAATGCAGTGGTTGCAACCTTCACTACATCAGCCCCAGAAGCCTGAATTCTTGCAGCAAGATTACCTATCTCCTCCACAGAGGGAGTATTTTCGAAGTTGTGTGAAGAGACAATGATCTTCACATTGTCTGGCTTCTTCCCTCCAATGGACTTGTAAAAGTCATGAGCTACCTTCAATAGACAATATAAGAAAGAATATGTATATATAACATAAAGGGATAGTATCCGTTAAACAGACTTTTTATGTAAATTACACTACGTACGACCGGTCACACACTGCATGATTAAAGTAGGACCTGTCGTACTTAATATAGTTTGTAAGAGTTTGTAAACAAAAATTTTACATATAACCTGCCCCTAACATAAATATTATTATTAGAACTTTGATGTTCGCCCCTAACTATTTTTATTAGGATAAGTTATTTTATCTTTTTTTTTGTTTATTTTTGTTTACCACTCTTTAATATCAGAGTATCAATTAAATTTATCATCTCTCTTTTCTATTAAGATTCTGATATAATTATATTGAAAAGTGATAGTCAGAAAAAAAAATATATATATAAATAGAATAACCTATCCCATTTTTAATTGGTAAAAAAAAAAAATGTGTATATATAATATAATTACATTTATTGCCATCTTTTGCATGCCAGGTATACGGTATGCCAGTTACTTAAGATTACCTTTAACTCAATGTCAACAAACTCAGATCCCAATTCAATGGCTAGACGTAGAGCAGATTGTCTCTTGTTTTCATCTCCATTATACTTCCCTCCTTCCCATATAGGTCTGAAACGAAAGGATCAAAACACACACTCACATATATGGATTCTAAAGAAAACTTAAAGCAGTAATGATGAACACATATTGATATTGTGGAATTATTTACCTGTAAGTGATTAAAATGGGCAAAGGACGGTTTTCTATTATGGTTTGAAGATGTTGTGAAGGATTGAAGTTCTTCAAGAAGTCCAACCGAGCCTCCACTAGGTCGGCACCTAATTCTTTTGCCTTGCTTATCTGAGACACCATTTGTTCCACTGAGTTTGCTATGATTGGAGCACAAATTAATGTTGAGTTTCTTCTGCCTCCACCTTGAACTCCAAGATCCGCGGTAGCCCTCTGGATTAGCAAAGCATGTTATTGTTTGTTAAGATATATATATATATAGTAATGTGAGAAGAGCAAAAGCTTCAGAATAAAAGAAAATCCTATTAGAACTTTCTAAGTTGACATGCTATGGGAGCTAACTAAGATGCATGAACATAAAAGAACATGAGACTATATCAGTTACATGATCCTTCAAGTAGTCATGAACTATTTCACGCAATGATTTCACCCATCCTTTTATCTGCAATGCATTTTTTAAATTCAAAATAGTCAAATTAGTATGTGCAATATTCTGTTTTTTTTTTTTTTTTTTCCCAGGAACCAAACATGTTATCTAAGGAAAGAAAACAAGAAACAGAGTTGGAAAAACAACGCTGCTGATAGTCATTTCTAGCGGAAAGGAGTTGAGGATGAAAGAGTACGAGCTAGCTATGCTGCAGAGAAAATAAAATTAAGATAAAACGTGTTTGTCTAGGAAAATGGGAAAATGGGAAATAGTTGGTGGGGTATCATCAACGTTATATTTGTGTGTGTAGTTTTAAATAATTTTTTTTTACACACAATAAATATGTGGGTCCAATGAATTTTTTTTCTCTTAAAAAAATTTAAGGGAACCCATATGTTTGTGGGAACAGTGATCATTTTGTCACGTTTGGACAAAAAATTATCAGACTGCCACGTCAATAGTAAATTTTGCCAAAATGCCACGCGGCATAATTCGCTACACAGTGTAGCGAAATATGCCACGTCAGAACCAAAAATGTCACATGTCAAATTTTGAGAAATTCGCTACCCTATGTAGCGAATTTCTCAAAATTTGACATGTGGCATTTTTGGTTCTCTGCTTTCTGACGTGACATATTTTGCTATACTGTGTAGCTCATTACTTGCATGCATAATTCGCTATACTGTGTAGCGAATTACGCCGCGTGGTATTTTGGCAAAATTTACTATTGGCGTGACAGTCTGGTAATTTTTTTGTCCAAGCGTGACACTTGTCCCTATGTTTGTGGTGTGTTTTGGTATTTTTGTTTATTTATTTATATATGAATTTTATGAAAATATTCTTCATTAATTCTTCTAACACCCAAAATAATGTAGTTTTGGGATGGCCAAAGATAAAATTATCTCAAGTGACTTGAGAAATATTTTTTCAATATATATATAAGCTTATCATTTCTCAAATTTTTTGAGATAACTTTATCTCCTGCTACTAAATCATAACCGCATAAAGATAAATCAATTATGATAAAGGAAGAGAAAGAAATAGGGAATCATAACCATTTAAAAATAAATCAAATAATATAAGAAAATAAATAAACAAAACAACGTAATTTTGGATGAACGGAGATAAAATATCAAGCTACTTGAGAAATATATATATATATATATATATATGTGGTCAGAATCATTTTACACCAGTGTAAGTTACACTCTTAATCTTGATCGTTGATCCTATTTCTATCTAATGGTTCTAATTTATTAGATATTTGAACCGTTAGATTCAAGTAAATCAATGATTCAGATTTGGTGTAAGATTTCTAATTCTTACACTGTTGTAAGAATATCCTGCCCTAATATATATATATATATATATGGGTCAGGATCATATGTAAGACTTCTAACTCTTACACTGTTGTAAGAATATCCTGCCCTATACATATATATATATATATATATATATATATATATATATATACACACACACACGCTATCTCTGCTATCTGTTCTGACTAAACTTTCGAGGATGACTGTTAGATAGTGCTTTGATGTTCAAACTATGACTAAGTATTTTCTAGCCCTTGCATACAATTCTAGTGGTATTCTTGTTTTTGGTATACGGTTAGTGATGTTTATTTTAACTTTTTTAAAAAAGAATGAACTTAACAAGTGGGACTCTCATTTCCAAAACACACTGGAAATTCTTGCTTTGGCCACTGGAAATTCATGTCCACAGTTTGTTGAAGGCGGATAGTCACGTGAGCACTAAATTATTTGCTTGCCTTGTGCATTCCAATTTTGCATCATCTTTCCTTCTTTTCGAAAAATAATGGGCTGGAGTGGACATTACCAAAAACAATAATAACAATAATGGGCTAAAGTTTCCACTTCAGCTAGTAGTACAATCGTGACCTAATCAAGTTTTTATGCGGACAACAAATGAACCAGCTCAATGATGTACGAAAGGAGAATTATAAAAATCAATTCATCCCAAAAATTTAAGTTGTTAAATAAGAATTTTTTAATGATTTATATTATTTTCTAACAAGAATAAATAGAACAAACAATGCAAACTAGGCAACTTTCAGTTACAAACAAATACATATTAGTTCACATCAAGCAGAAAGAACCACATCTTCGACACAAACGAAAGGAGTCAGCATACTACTATTATGATAGTAGTTTCTCATAGTTAACTAGAATGAAAAATGCTTCACCGTTATGCCAATATATGACAGCATCGTGCATTCCAGATAGAGGCCAATTAAATAAATGGTGCTAAAATCAAGGGCATGCCGATACATATGCCTCCAATAGTGACTCAAGTTCAGTGTCTAATGGATATACCTAGAACTTTATTTTCGAAAGCAAAACCAGCTAACTGAGACACTTTAGTTGATATAGACATAGAAACACGGCCAAGCTAACCTCAATTTTGATGTCCATATGTGGATGACAATCAATATTGTTTGAAGTTATTGTAAATTAACAAATATTGTCACTAGATATCTAGTACTTACAACATATTTTTAAGTCGCACCAATAAATTTACCAACAAATCGGATAATAAATTCGTTTTGGACCAATTGCACTTCGTGCTTGGTAGTTATTTGATCCAAATATATTTAGGAATTGTATAACCCAATTTCTAAAATAGTTTATTCTTTCACCAAAAAATAAAATAGTTTATTCTAGACTATTACATGAGAGTTCTAGAAATTTGTTTCATCTACCATAATTAAAATTTAGATTATGAGATTATGGTAAATTCTAGAAAGCATTTGCAACCTTTAGACAAGAAATGTGTTGATATAATCCTAACCATTAAGTTAAGGAGGTGTCATTAGTATAGATAAATATATTTTCCACCATTCAATATCAATTCAAAAAACAAAAAAAAGAATATTGAATAAAAGTAAAAGTAATCTCTTCCGTCAATTTTTTTAAAATTTTCTCCTTCTCGAATATCTTCCTCCTAATAATTACAACCTCCCCCTCTCACGAGAAATGGTACCATTAATTGGAATAAAACCAAACGCGGCACTCCTTTTCACCACAAATTTCCTTTTCCGTTTGCTTCTTAAATTTTTTTGGCTCAATTGCTGATTAAGTTACCTACGGAGCGGCCTTATATAAAAGATTTTAGATATTAAAATCTTATTTATTTTTTGCACTTTAAATTTTATTATTATTTTTTAGATAAATTTCAATTTATTTTAAAATAAATAAATTTCTCAACCACAGTGCATAATAATAACAATTCTCTTAAAAAAAAAATCTTTTATTTTTTTTACGAATTCCTATCACCAGTAAAAAAAAATAAAAAAAAATAAAAAAGTTGAAATACAATGCTAAAGTAAATTATACGAGTATTTAATTTTTTTTATTCCCGGAATTCAAATTCAAAATGAGACAATTCCAGGGAAAATCCCGACTTCAGGGATATTTTGCCAGCTTTTAAAAATAAAATAAAAGAAAAAATATTTATCATTCTAAAAAACACAACTTTATGTCATTTTAGATAAAACCATATTATTTTAATGTATAATTAATAATTTTTTATATTCTTTCTCCTCTAAAAATAGAAAGAAAATGGAAAAATAAAATATAAAAATTTACCAATTATGCACTAAAACTGCATTGTTTCATCTAAATTGACACAAAGTCATGTCCCTTAAAATGATTAAAAAAAAATAAAAAATCCAAAAATAAGTGCAATTATTTTTTTCTCAACATTGACTCATGCCACCACTCCAGTTATACACTGATCAAAGTTGAGTTCACAGAGAAAAGAACAATCTCAACTATCATACACAACAGTTCTAGTTTTCAACTAATCACAGAAGTCATCTACCTGACTTCTATATATCTCATATTATTTGTACCTTTACAAGTGGGTAATTTTGCATATACAAAAGTGGGGACGTGCATGATTATTGGCTACAGAGATCAGATCGAACATCAGTGATCCTCAAGTATAGATATCCCCTATTACATTTCAAAAGTGGATTTTTGCCTAAACTTCTGCTATTAACAAACTTGAAGCAATTCACAACGTCAGTAGCTTCCTGCAGATGATCGATCACCCATGCATCAAGAGTGTAAATGGTATCCCAAGAAAACACATATAAGTGCCACCATACAGACATATAGTAGCGGGAACCCAACTTGAACTTTTTTTGGACCTTTATTAATAAGAGTTTCCTGCAAATACAATACAAGCCAGCCTTAGTTTAAGAAATGAAGTCCACTCAAATTTACACGATGAAAAGGAGACACCCAAAAAGAGGAAACATAGAAAATTGCACAAGTTCAAGCAAGTATATGGCGAAGAATTATGTAGTAGCATGTAATATCTGTACCGACTTCCAACAAGCAAAAAGTGAAATTGCCAATCTAAATTACAATTTTGATGAACACTTTCTCGACTTTGCAATCCAATATCAAAATGATTACCCCAAACCTCCCCTCCCCTTTCTCTTCTCCTGCGGTCATATAACAATTATTAGTTCACACACTCTAGAACAACTAATGACTATCTTATAAAAAATAAATACAAAGCAAATACTAGAAAGACCAGATACCTGACCCCCCTCTGTGGTACCATTTATATTGATTGTACTTTAAGTCTTTAATTTCTAGAATGATAGACAATTTGCATTAAGCATACCATCTCAGGGATTATCACAAGATTAAAAGAAGCAAAAACATTATCTTAGAACTATACAGTAATTCACAGGCTTACTAATTTGTCTTGCAAGATTTTTGCCTCTTGATTGCTTAGCCTCCTCTCCTCTGTTAACTTTGATATTGTTACTCCAGACTGCAAGGGAAGCAGAAACTTGATCGTTAAATAAATACAGACTAGCATACAACTCAAGAACCACTGTGACCAACATCTGCCCCATTCTAATATGTGGAAACCCATATGCTCCATTGCTTCATCGCCAATGTTATAACATTCGCATTAAAATGAAATATTTTCACATATGATTGAGCACATAGGAATGTCAGGAGCTTTCAACTAATCAAGTCTGAAGCCTGTTAATACAGTTATACTATATTGTGGGCCTTAATCATGCGCATGCCACAGAACACACACATTACATGCCATACATCCAAAGAGACAAGTAAAAGACCAGTCTTTGCTGTCTCCTCTGAGGCTTTTCTAATTCCAACTTATATTTTGTCAAACATGGTGCAGTGGATCTCCAATCATGTGAATGCCATATAATCAAATGAAGGGAAGGGGAGAATGATGTACATAAGGATCAAACATGTTCATTCCTTATCACAATCACGCAAAAGTCTGTGAAGCCATATAATTTAAACAAATGTAACAATAAACACTACAATAAGCTGGAAAGGGTCTAAATAACATTTCAAACCTCTCAAATGATAATTTAAACCCAAAAAGAGTGCTAATACAAGGCATTAACAACCAAACTCTAGATCTGATTGCAGGAAAAGTTGACATAGAGATTTTCTTCAACATGCAACTTGATACGAAGCATGTCACATATGCAAGCAGATAACAAATTTCACAGCAGAATGGTGGAATGCCTAACCTCATTTAGTTTTGACTCAAGTCCATCTAGTTTTAACTTCATCTCTTCAATAGCTTCCATTAATTTCAGCTCATCTGTACCCCTTGAAACTCTTAACTCTGCTTCTTTTTCTTGCTTCAATTCCTCAACATTCTTTACTGTTCTCAACTCCAGATCTTTTGGAACTTTTAATGCAACTTTTTCTGTCTTCAGTTCCTCTACATTATTTACCGTGTTCAAATCCAGATCTTTTAACATTTTTAACTCTGCTTCTTTTTCTGGCTTCGGTTCCTCTGAATTCTCTTCTGTGTTCAAATCCAGATCTTTTGAAACTTTTAACTCTAATTTTTTTCGTGGCTCAAGTTCCTCCACATCCTTTACTGTATTCAACACCTCATCTTTTGACACTTTTAACCCTGGTTCTTCTTTTTGCTCCTCCACGTGCTTCATAGCATTCAGGCCCATAACATGTTCTGGCTTCAACTCCATATCCTCTTCAAGCTTTAATACCTCGTGAAACATGTTAAATCCTGAATTTCTAGGAACCTAACATATTACAGGAACAGAATAAAACATTTGAATGGCATATTTAATAAGTATGACTTGAACTTGTGAAATTGACATCCACACACATGCACAAAGATTAACAACATCAGCTAAGATGACAAAGCCAAAAAGAAGGGGAATTCAAAATGTGTTCAAAGAATGCCTTCCCAAGGGTACTCAAGGAAACAGGGAAGCTGAAGACAGGTCTGCAACTCCATAACAATGTACTAATCAAATTATGAAAATAGCAATCCACAAATAATAACCGACAAACCCTAAAAATATGTAAGAAATTCCATTATATTTCTCAGGGATTTGAAATATCTATGGAAGAGAAAGAGGTGGAGGAAAGAAAAGAATTTAGACCCAAACATCAGTGAAGTTTTCTCTAACCATGGGGTCTGGGGATTGGATTTCATCTTTACTATATATCCGAAATTCTTCGTGATCAAGCCCATTCTTTAAGTCTCCATTAATAGAAGAGAGTTCTGGTGAATCAGGTTGGCTAATTAGGACCACCTTCAGCTTATTTTCTTCAATATATCTGCTTCCATCTTTGGCAAACTGCAATTAACAAAAACAGAGACATATATATTAAAAAATAGAAATTAATAACAAAAGCTGCCAGAGTACAAAATCACAGCCTAATGAATATCCATACCAAGCTCGAAGTAACATCTTCACTGTTTGTTTCAACAGTAACCAATGTGCTCTGGATTAAGAACTTGTCCTTGCACACCATATCTTCAGGTGCTACCCGTGGAGCTTGCATTGTAACTGTTTGATGCAAAAGTAAAAAACAATAAAGATTAGATATCTGCAAAAAAAAAAAAAAAAAAAAAAACTGAGATCCTAGAATAAATTCCCAAATGTGTGGATTCATCTTCAACTGTTGTTATTGGAAAACAGATATTCCTTAAAAATTTCCTTTCCGTTGAAAATCTGCTGGCTGCAAGGCTAGGTTAAGTATGAAGTACAAATATTTAATTGAAATTCAGGTCCCTTTAGCGTCTATCCATAAATTATCCACTACAATGCCTAAACTTAATCTCAAAATTATCCAATCAGAACAATAAATATAATTGACTCTTCCCATCCAATCATAAAAAATTCATTTTAAACTGACTTTATTACAAGTAGAGAATAACAAGTCAAGTGTCAAAAGAAAAATCACAAACACACAAAATACGAAGAAATACCTATGAATTCACAAGTAGATTTTGGGGCGAGAATTCCAACATTAGGTCGCACTGAATATTTCCTAGGCGACGTCGTCTTGACCTGCAAATGCCATACCAAAAAAGATTAACCTCTCCAGCATTCTATACCTAAACCAACGAATAGGGATAAAAATAAAGATGCTAGGACCTTGAAAGCGACACGGTGGTAGGTGTTATTACTCAACTGAACTGAGCATGAACTTTGCTTCATCAATTCAACTATAAAGGCGAAAAATCGCGACATATTAGTCAATTGATCATACTCACACACAAGTTATAATAGATTCAACGGCATGCATACAAGTATTTAGAATACACTTACACGTAAATCTGAGCTCCTTGGGTTCAATTTCGAGAATCGGCTCTTTGTTCATGATTACTCCTGGGGCATCAATCCGAAATCGAGATCAACACCTAAAACGACAGTGTTTGAGTGAAGTCGTTCGATTCGAAGAAGAAGAGGGGAACGAGTCAAGTCGTCCTAGCTCAACGAGTCAACTCAACTGAACTCGTACTCTGGAAAACGAAAAAGAAAAGAAAAAAAGACAAATCAAGCATTAGATCTTTTTATGGACATGAAGTCCGAAAATTCAGCGGGAACATACCACATAGCAATAATACTATAGAGCATGAGTCGCTTTTACAGACGCGAATAAGTGGGAAAGCAGAACAAACGGCAGCGTTTAAACAAGGTAGAACTTTTCAGCGAAGAATCCCAAAGTCCAAAGATAGATGGGGAAAAAATAATAATAATGGAGTAAATGGTAGTAGTTCAGTTGGCGCATGGGAGCTAAGCAGGTGGGGGTGAGAGCATGTGTTTTCGAATCTCTCTAGTATCAGCTTTGGGAGGGATTTAAAGTCTTAATCCTAGACTCGCTCCGAATCGGATTAGTTGCGAAACAATGAACCGATTGGAATATTTTAAAAAATAATAATAATAATAATGAAATTATCTGTATATGGTAATGGTAGTAGGAAATTTTATTTTTATTTCATGCACCATCATAATGGAAGTGGATGCGACTAATGAGAATAAGCGTGTGAATCTCGTGGTCCTCTAAGGCAGAGCGATTAATGCTGAAAAAAGAAAGAAGGGAAATGACAAAGAGAAACGTTTTTTTATTCAAATATTGTAAATAAATATTTCGAGTATCTGAAGTCTGAATTCTCTTTTTTATTTTATTTTAATATCTTTGTTTATATTTCTATTTCTATTTTTACACCTTTTTCTAGTGAGAAGCACGTTGCATCGCTAGAGAAAGGGACTTAAATAGATTGTATTGTAGTATTGGCTTTTACCGACACGGAGCCGGTTTTGTTCGTTTCCTTTGCATGGCTCGGCGCACCCACATCAAGCCAAACGCGCTATAACCTGAATATTGCAAGACCTAAATAGATTAATGTTTCTGATAGATATACTTTTATCAAGATAGAAAATAAAATTTATTTTTTATAATATTAATCTCACAACTAAAAACAATATTCCTTTTTTTGTATATTTATGGACTTGGACTCCTCATGTGTACAATAAACAAAAGCTTGTATATAAAGATAAATTGCAGGATACACCTTCCTGTCTCGGGGTGTAATATCCCCTATAATCGACTGATATAGGGGATATTATATTATTTCTTAATTCTTATTTTAAATTAAAGAATATAAGATTCTGACGTAGTGGATATAGACAGGGTACACCTTCCTGTCTCGGGGTGTAATATCCCCTGTAAGATTCTTATTTTAATGTTCGATGAATGTTCTTTGGAATGGTTCTACAACTCAGGAGTTTTTCCCATCCAGGGGGCTTAGACAGGGTGACCCTTTGTCCCCATATTTATTTATTCTTTGTATGGAGCGACTTGGTCATCTCATTTCCCATGCAGTTAGGCAAAAGTGCTGGAAGCCGATCATGTTAAGGAGAAATGCTCCTCCCATTTCTCACCTCTTTTTTGCGGATGATCTTATTCTTTGTGCGGATGCATCCTTTGATCAGGCCCAAACCATTTCCAAGGTGCTAGATGATTTTTGTCTTTCTTCTGGGCAAAAGGTTAACCATGAAAAAACAAAAATTCTCTTCTCCCACAATGTGAATCATATTTTGGCAGAGGAACTTAGTGGTGAGTTGGGCTTCTCAAGGACGGTGGATCTTGGAAAGTATTTGGGTATTCCTCTTCATCATCGCAGAGTTGGGAGGGCGGCTTTCAGTCATATCCTCGATCGAGTTCAATCTAGGATTAATGCCTGGAACCACACCAGTCTTTCTCTAGCAGGAAGAATTACACTTTCGAAAGCTGTTCTCTCAGCTATTCCAGCCTACACAATGCAAGTTTCTGTTGTTCCTCTCGGAATCTGCAATGATATTGAGAAACATATTAGGAGGTTTTTGTGGGGTTCCAATAGAGCATCTACTCGTCCTCATCTGGTTGCGTGGGATCAGTTGTGCATGGATAAAGATCATGGAGGGCTGGGTCTGAGGAAAATGAAGGAAGTTAACAGGGCTTTTATTATGAAAATTGGTTATGGGATCCTTTCTAATCCAGACGCGCTTTGGGCTAGAGTTTTAAAGAGCAAGTATAAAGTTCAGTCTGATTTGGTTCCTAATATTTCTGCTACTCGGAATAGCTCCTCTCTTTGGAAAGCAATTGTTTCGTCTTGGCCTGTGATATTACAGCATTCCAGAATTTTGCTAGGTAATGGAAATTCTACTCATTTTTGGGATGACCCGTGGGTTCCGGGTTGTGGTGCACTCTCATCCTATGCTGCTATTTCTGATCCCTCTCAGATAAATCATCAGCTAATGGTCTCTGATCTTGTCTCATCCTCCGGAAGTTGGATGTGGGGGGCTTTCCAGCATAGTCTTCCCGATCACGTCAATGCTCGTATTAATAACATCCTTCCTCCTTCGGATGTTAATGGTCATGACCGAATTTTGTGGACAAGGACATCTGATGGGAGTTTTTCGCTGAAGTCCGCTTATATGGCCATATCCAGGGGTAACGAGGAATCTACCAATTTACCTTGGAATCGCGTTTGGCAGTGGCATGGACCTGAACGGATTCGTACGTTCCTTTGGCTGTTGTTAGGAGATAAAATTTTGACAAGTGAAAGGCGTTGCAGACGGCACATGGCGGGTTCAGATATATGTCATCTGTGCAATTGTTTTACGGAAACTTCCTTACATGCGGTTAGAGATTGTATTGCAGCAAAAAAAGTGTGGGAGATTGCAGTTAAGCGAGAGGCTTGGGAGGATTTTTTCTCTCTTAATCTTCAGCAATGGGTGTTGTCCAATATCTCTGAGGATCGTAATTGGTCCAATTTGCCATCATGGCCTCTTCTGTTTGGTATCATTTCCTGTTTCATTTGGCAAGCTAGGAATAAGAAAATTTTTCAGGGATCTTCTGTTCCTGCTTATGGCACTTTTAGAGCTGCTATGGTCTATGGTGAAGATTTTTCTTGGTCAGAAAACACGCTTCGGGTTGCTGGTCTTGAGACTAACTCGAATAAAGAGAAATTAGTTTCTTGGGTTTTTCCTTCGGACCCTTGGGTTAAGCTCAATGTGGATGGGTCAAGTATGAATAATGGAGAAGCTTCTGCTTGTGGGGGTGTATTTAGGAATGCTAGTGGAAGGTGGCTTGTTGGCTTTTGTAAAAATCTTGGCTGTGGTAATGTTTTGTTAGCAGAACTTTGGGGTTGTCTCCTTGGGCTTGAGATTGCATGGAGGAAAGGTTTCCGTTTTGTCTGGCTTGAAGGTGATTCCTTAGTAGCCCAGTTTTTCATAAGAGAAGGGTGCAGCTCTCATCATCCAGCCTCTAACTTGGTCTTGCGCATAAGGAATATGCTGGATTGGAATTGGAGGGTTAGAATTTCCCATATTCATAGGGAAGGGAATGGGGTTGCCGATTGGATGGCCTCTTTTGCCTACTCCTTTGATTGGTCTTTACAAGAGTTTGACTCGCCTCCTTCTGGTTGTCGTGACAAACTTGAAAGGGACTATGTAGGAGTAGTTTGGTCTAGGAGGTGTTCCTAGTTTCTTTTTTTGTTTTTATGTTTCCTGTTTGCTTTTCAAAAAAAAAAAGAATAAGAAATATAATAAAACACTCTTAATTACAAAAAAAAACACTCTTAAAAACTAACTATACATCAGAAGTCAAGTTCACAATTAGATCTGAAATAGACTATATATATTATCATCATGATTTAAACTGAAAAGAAAATTTACTACTCTATTAGTGAGATTATTTATAGTAGTCCTGGCATACCTACTCCTTCCATTGAGAAGCTGTTACTTGGAGAAAAAAATAATTTCTCTCTCTTCCATGTAAGCAAGTCAGAAAATATCTATTTTTCATTGGTTTGGACCACTGAATCATAAATGAGCCTGGACCATATTAAATATTTCCTTTATTAGTCACTTCAAGGTACACAAAATCACTCCGAATTCTGTACGGATCCCAAAGTCTTTAATCATGGTGCTCAGTCCCTCTCCAGGAATACACATACTAAGCATCTTTATTTTTCTGAAAATATTAGCATAAACATAAATACACATGAGGTAAATTTTAATAATATTATGGTTTTCGAATTATAACCAATACAGCCCCTCTAGCAAAAAATATCATTCTCACATAACATGTTTATAATGAGAAAATAATTACTTAAATGTCAATCATATAAAAGAACATGAAATCTTGAAATTACTAAAGACCAAACCTTTGTGAGTTTTTACATACAACGTACTAAAGCCCAAACCTTTGTGAGTTCTGCATACAATGAGAATGTGTATTCTTTAACTAAAATAACTAAAGCCCAAACATTTGTGAACGCCCAAAACTTTGTGGATTCTGTATGTAAAATGTTATGATTGGCGAAGCTCAAGCCAAATAAAGAGTCTCTTGCCATATAACCGTCTGATCCCAAATCTTTGTGGGTCAACTCACATCAGAATCATTCAGTTAAAGATTATATATTCCGTTAATATTTATTTGGTACCAAAAGAATTCTTTAGCTCCATAGTCTTGATTCTCATCATTCTTATAATCAATATATGTATATCCAACAAGTACACAACCACCAAAGTTTCGAATATAAAATCAAAAGAGTAGCGGATAATATCAAGGATATAAAATAAAATAAGAGAGAAAAAGAAATAGGTTGTTAGAATAACGACACCTTCACAATTTTTAAAGAAACAACATCAGAATACCAACTTTAAATATAGTATTGAAAAGAATATAATTAAGATAAAGAGGTTTTCACCCAATATTACTTTCCTAATTTATTTTCCCCACTTTGTTCTTCCTTTTCTCCTTTCTTTTCTTTCCTCTCTCCCTGTTCTCACTTCTTCTTTGTTTTCTCTCGGTTCCTTTTATTTTTCTCTTCATTGTTACACGTTTTTTCTCTCTCACTGTTACTTTTTTCTCTTCCTCGGTTTCCTTTCTCTATTTCTCCACTTCCACGATGGGGGTGTTTATAGATGTATAATAGTCACATGCTGATTTCTCTTAAAAATATGTAACTCAAACTTATCCAAATCTAATAAAAATCAAAGACTTTTATCTCTCAAATGCTTCCACTTTGTACTTCTATTATTATTATTTTATTACCATAG